TTGTTATTTTCTTTAGTTAAGAAATGTAGAAAATACCCGATTTAGATAACCTCATTACACATAATCTGTGTTGAAAAGCGTTGAATGCATGGGAGTTTGTATTTTTTCTCCTATATCTGTCTGTCTTAAACAATTCACAAACGTTTTCTTGCACTAAATACTAATATAAAGGAGCATGTTTCAGTCGAACTATGTATTTTTTCGGTTCCATTCTATCTACATAGGCAAAGTAGTCTTGATGTTTTACCAAATGATACGAAAATTTTAACATTTGTAATAATTATTACTCCATAAATCAATTTCTGAAATGACATTTCGTTCATAATATGCATGAAATGTTTGCCACTGGACGTTAAGCAATCAACAATCAATCAATCAAATTTTGCACTAAAATATGAATTCAACAATTTAAAACACAATCGTATCCATCACTTGGTGCATGTCTGTTGTCTGTTAAACAGTTAACTTTCTGAATTCGTTTTTGTGCAGAAATAAATTCCTTAGAATAGTTTAAGTATGTAAATATATTCAAAGGGTATCTTGTGGTCTTGCGGTAGTTGACATTATCAAATGTTGGATCCATTATTTGCTGTTCGTCGTCTGTTTATATTTTAACCCCCACTTACATTTTTCTTTACTTAAATAAACACTAAACAATTTCCGATGTTTTATCATTTATTAAACAAACTTTATTTGTATGTGTTTCTACTGAGATTTAAAAAAAAAAAATGCGAATCACGATTGTTGTGTTTTCGCGTCTATATTATGTTATACAATTATATCCTTTGTATGAGGTCGATACAATGATATATTGACCTAAAAAAGTATATGGACTGAGGACGATATACTTCTTTGGGTCGATGTCTCCTCTATTGACCTCATGCATAGGCTATAATTGTTATATTATTAATTTACTACCATATTTGTATCAAAATCGTCAGTGCAAGTATATTCTCTTTTTTCGATCATTTAGTTGTGTTTTAGGCAACCGTACGACCTTCAATATGGAAAAATATGGAAACCGTAAAGTTGGTTATAAAAGGGCCCGCCTCGACATGACAAATATGAAACAATTCCTTGAGAAAAGTAACGGCCTAATTTATAACAAAGCATTTACAAAAAAAAATTATCAGACTTGAAGTAACAACAACCACTGAAGTACATGCTCCTGACTTTGAACAGACACACAAAGAAGGTGGCGATGTGTATGTCCTTTTTTGGTCATAAACCTCTTCACTCCTATCTTTTTTATGCATTCTTTGGCTTTCAAATATTTTTGCCACCCACTTCCAAACCCATTGTCTCGGTAGTTCTTTATGGCTAGGGATCATAGACCCTGCCCTAATGAATAGCTATTGGATAGTACTACAACGTGAGGGTAAAGAATTTCTGGGGACAGTATTCTTAACGGCCGAAAATTTCGTCCGTAACACGGAAAAATGGTCAAAATTGATAAAATACACATTGGGGTCACCCATTTGTTAAATCAATTGCCTCGGCAGTTCTGTATGGCTAGGGATTATAGACTCTGCTACTTACCCCAGAAAATCTTTACCCTCACGTTGTAGTACTATTCAATAGCTATTCATAAGGGCAGGGTCTATAATCCCTAGCCATAAAGAACTACCGAGATAATGGGTTTGACAGTGGGTTGCCCCAATGCGTATTTGATCGAATTTGGCTTTATTTCCATGTTTCGCACGAAATTTTCGACCTTTAGGAATGCTTACCCTAGAAATTCTTTGCCGTCTCGTTGTAGTTCTATCCAATAGCTATTTATTAGAGCAGAGTCTATAATCCCTAGCCATACAGAACTGCCGAGACATTTCGTACAGGAACCTTTTCATTTGCTGTATTTCTAGTTTTCATATTTTAGAACACATTTTTATATAAAACTGGTCTTGTACAAAATTTTAATACAATAAAGAGAAAAATACTTTATTTGTAGGTGTTTCTACTGAGATTTTAAAAGAAAACAAAATGTGATTCACGTTTGGTGTGTTTTCGCCAGCACCTGACCGTCAAAAATGCATCCTTTTGTGCACCAACTCATTGGCGTCATTATATTTCAGAATACATATAGTATCATTGGCGCCAAAGAAAAAGTATATACGATTTAAAATAAACAGCTGCGCCATGAGCGCATGATACGCCCGTCGTCTTGTGTGTGAATTTTTATGCAATAAGCATAAATAGTTTCTGACATACGGCATGACATGCGAAAACCCCCTTTTTTTTAACAAAAAACTCATTATCTCTAAAATAAAATTTTGAATCAAAATCAAAAAGTATACAGATCTTTAGATTGATATAACTAAGAAGTGTGTAAAATTTTAAGCAATAATCATAAATCTTTTTTGAGATACGGCGCGACATGTGAAAAACCCCTCCCCCTTTTTTTTTACAAAATACTCAATAACTCAAAAATTAAATTTTGAATCATCACCAAAAAGTATACAGATCTTAAGGTTAATATAACTAAGAAGTGTGTAAAGTTTTAAGCAATAATCATAAACTGTTTTTGAGATATGGTGCGATATGTGAAAAACCCCTCCCCTTTTTTTAACAAAATACTCAATATCTCTAAAATAAAATTTTGAATCATCACCAAAAAGTATACAGATCTTAAGATTAATATAACTAAGAAGTGTGTAAAGTTTTAAGCAATAATCATAAATTGTTTTTGAGATACGGCGCGACATGTGAAAAAAAACATGCACCTGTTTTAGTTACTAAGTCCCGTAACTCAAAAAGTTTTAATCTTATTTTCACCAAAAAGTATACAGATCGTTTGACCATCATAAGAAACAACTATGTTAAGTTTCATGAAATTTGGATAAGTCATTCTCAAGTTACGGTGCGACATGTTTACGCCGGACAGACAGACGGACAGACGGACAGACAGACGGACGGACGGACAGACAGACGGACGGACGGACAGACAGACGGACGGACACCGGACATTTGTATACCATAATACGTCCCGTCAAAAATTGACGGGCGTATAAAAAAGGAAATGACTTCCCAGCTACATGCCAGGGCCTTTTATAGCTTGCTACATACGGAATGATTTTTGCTTGCTGTACGGTGACCATTATAATTGCAAACTTCTACCTGGAACTATTACACTTACATTATTGTAATAGTCCCAGCTTCTATTCTGGTGAAAAATTTCTCATTGACAATCATACCACATCTTCTTATTTGTATGTATATATTTTTCAATTTTCTGAGCCATTCAGATCTTTTCATTTTATAAAACGACAGTCTCTTTCATTAATATAATCCAATTTTGCAGAAGATCCATTGAAAATATGTGAGTTTTACAAGTTTCTATAAATCTACCTGTATATTTTTAGAAACAGTTAGGCCGTTTCCTTTTCCCAGTTTACTTCCGAGAACAGTAATAGCCTGGAATACATTACCGAAATCGACAGTGAAAGCTCCAACTATATGGAAGCTTTCAAGACTGATTACATAGATGAAGGAATGTTTTTATCCTGCTCCAACTGTACAGCATGCACCATATTTTTTTTTATCTTTGGTCTTTTATTGTAAATAGACATTACCAGCACCTACGTAACGCACAAGTATTGAGTACTCATTACTGAGTTTTTTTAACTACTATATCAAAGAAGAAGAAGAAGAGTGTTGGCTTAAAAGACTTCTTTCTTCTTCGAATAAATATTAAATATGCTATCTGCAGAATGGTAGGAACAATTCGGGAACATTCAGACTTTTTTTAGATATACCTCCTTCTATCATCTAAAAATATTTTTTTCTCGTTTTCAGTCCTAACTATAAAGGTTGGAATTAGTGATTACTTATGAAGATAAATAAATCAAAAAAAATATACAGAATTTCTTGTCTTGATGTCTTTCAATGTTAACGTTTAGGTCCAAGTTTTTTTTATTTATTACAAACATATAATTCTTTAAAACTTGGTTGATTTTAAATAAATGACTAGCCTCGACTTTAAAATAAGAAGGAAATCCAAAGAATAAATAATTCTTAAGTTTAAATGAATCCAACCGTAAGATAGATGTCCATTTAAGTCTTTAAATCTCCCCATTCAGTCCTGAGTTGTGGCATCAGAAAAATTATTTTCCCGTCTAGATGAATGGAATTTGTTAATTTGAAGTTTATCTATTGAAAAGTGAAAAATATAAATAAAACTACCATCTTTGTAGTTTCTGGTCCGTCCAAGTTTACGTAAATTTTAAGCATGTGATGATTAAACATAATTTGTTCAATGAAAATTCGAAAATCTTATTTCATGTAGGAGAAAATTTTTCAAATTTTATTTGAGACAATTATTTTAAAAATATGAGAAAAAAAATCAAAATTGAAAAAAAATATTTCAAAACATGAGTAAAATATTTCTAATTTTATCTACATGTATGAAAAAACATTTCAAATTTAATTCAGAAAACACAAATGTTATTGAATAAAACTTAAATTTGAAGGAGTGAAAAAGAAATTGCAATTTAAAAATTGCCCTGTATATTTTCAGGTCCATTCTGGTCTTTAGTGCTACCATTATCAGTATTCGATTTAACTATAGTTTAAAAAGCTTCTAAATGCACACAAACGTGCATAGGATTTTTTTTTAAAATAAATATGGTTAAAATATCATTCCAGAACATGAATGTTGCACTGAAACGTTTTATTGGAGTATATTTGGGTATATTGGGGTAAAAAGTCATTTTGTGATCGTAAGCGGCTGACAAGAAAGGAACAAGTTTCAATGAAAAAAGTGATTTAAAATTAAATATATTTATAAAATAAAGTATTGTTGGTGTTAAAATAACATGGAAATGCCTAAAATGCTATTATTATTCAATAATATTTTGTTGAAACTGTTTTTTGATGTATATTGGGGTATATTGGGGTATGTTGGGGTATATTGGGGTAAAAAGTCGCACCCCCTGCCAAGACGTTATTACTGCGATTTTTGCGATAAATCGTTTGCTGATAACCCGGTAGCAAGGAAAAATCACATGAATGGAACCACCCATCAAAGAAACAGAAAGCAGCATTACGATTCATTCCGGGATCCCGAAATACTCTTGTTTGAAGAAATCAACAAGAAGCCATGTAAACATTTCTTGCAAAGTGGGACATGCACTTTCTTTGATAGTTGTAGATTTTCTCATCTACGTGAAGATGAAAAGGAACAACTGAGAACTCAAGCAACAGAAATGAAAACAAAAAAATACAAGAGACAAGACATAAAGAAGGATGAAAATGATGAGGATCTCAAAACTTTTTTACAGAAGATTGAGAGTGGTCAAAAGTTTGATCAGAAAGAAGGAAAAAATATACATTCAGGAGTAGTGATTCCAAAATATAGCATTCCAACATTTTTACAAACTGTTGCAAACTTGCCACCATCGCTTGTACCGCCTCCACCAGATAGTTTCTTAGACCTTGAGCTCAAAGAATGGGGATAATCATGTACACTATACATGTATAATATGTTTTTTTTTTATTACAATAAAATTGAGAATAATCCTTTTTTATGTATCGCTTATGAGCATTCTGATATTTAATTTTTCCTAGGTGATGCAACAATACATGTACATGATTTAATATAATCATTAGAAGTTAGAACCATACATTGTACATTTAGTATTTGGTGTACATGTACAGGATTGTAATGCCACAGTACCCAAATTGCACCAAGCACCCAATGTGTACCCATCATGTATACATTAATTGGCTTAAAGAGTGACGGATCTAGATCTCTTTCTAAGAGAGTCAGACTGAATAATTCGTAACTTTTATCATTAAGTAAATTGATTTAAGTCTTTCAAAATAGCTAAATATTCTTAAAGATACACAAAACGGCCACATTACATATCAACAGATGAAATTTCCAATAAAAAAATGTTATTTAGGGAAACAGTGCATGAGACCTTCCACATCCAAAAAAGGAGAAATTAAAATATGTTGCAGACTTCCATTTTATACAAAATCATAAAAAGCATAGACTATTTTTTTTAGATTGTAATAAAATGCTCCGCTGGGCGCAGCTTGATACGACCGCAGAGGTCAAACCCTGAACAGTTGGGGCAAGTATGGACACAACTTTCAAGCTTGCTACAGCTCTGAATTTGGATTGTGATTAAATATTTGACACAGCATAGGTTTCTGACACAGAATGAATGTGGTCTAAGAACTTAAATTTTTTTAATTTACCTATTATGGTCCAATATCCAAAATCTAAATACATGGTTACATTCAGCATATCAAAGAATCCAAAGAATTCACAATTTTTGATGAAATCAAACAAAGTTTAATTTTGGACCCTTTTGACCTCAATGTGGACCAATTTGATAACGGGGCCCAAAAATCAAAATACATGGTTAGATTCAGCATATCAAAGAACCCCATATATTCAATTTTTGTTGAAATCAAACAAAGGTTAATTTTGGACATCAACTTGGACCAACTTGAAAACTGGGCCCATAATAAAAAATCTAAACACATGTTTAGATTCAGCATATCAAAGAACCCCAAGAATTCAATTTTTGTTAAAATCAAACTAAGTTTAATTTTGGACCCTTTGGACCTTAATGTAGACCAATTAAAAAACGGGACCCAAATTTAAAAATCTAAATACACGGTTAGATTTGGCATATCAAAGAACCCCAATAATTCAATTTTTGATGAAATAAAACAAAGTTTAATTTTGGACCCTTTTGACCTCAATATGAACCAATTTGATAGCGGGGCCCAAAAATCAAAAATCTAAATACATGGTTAGATTCAGCATATCAAAGAACCCCATATATTCAATTTTTGTTGAAATCATACAAAGTTTAATTTTGGACCAACTTGAAAACTGGGCCAAAAATCAAAAATCTAAATACATGTTTAGATTCAGCATATCAAAGAACCCCATATATTCAATTTTTGTTAAAATCAAACTAAGTTTAATTTTGGACCCTTTGGACCTTAATGTAGACCAATTTGAAAACTGGACCCAAAATTAAAAATCTAAATACACGGTCAGATTTGGCATAACAAATAAATAAATGTGGTCAAAGATTTTACAAATCTAATGTGCCATACTGTGCAATTAAAGATTACGTCTTGAAATTTTTCAATATTTGAAATTTGAAAAAAAAAAAATATTGTAGGAATAATTCTTTTTAATTTCTGAAATCTGAAATGAGAAAAAATTGACCCCCCACAATTTCTTTTTACCCTCCATAAAAAAGATTTTTTAAAATAATTACCCATAGTGCTAACTTAATCTATTTTATAATAGAATTTAAAATATGGTGTCAAATCTTTCATATGGATTTTTTTGTAAAAAAAAAAAGATGCAACATTTGCAGATATTTTTACTGGTCTTCCTTTATAAATATGCATTTCTTTAAACATAATTTAAAAGCAGTGTAAGGGAAGTAATCAAAACGTTGTATGTGGATTACCTCCCTTACACTGTTTTAAATTGTCTTAATTGTTCATTAACCATTACTTTATACATAATTTAAAAGCAGTGTAAGGGAGGTAATTCAAATGATGTATTTGATTTATCTCCCTTAGACTGCTTTAAATTATGTTTTGTACTAAAGTATTTGTCCATATAAAAATGCTTGTTTTTTGCCCCTTTTTTGGCCCCTTATTCTTAAAATTTTGAGGTAATTACCCCCAAAATCAATCCCAGCATTCCCTTTGTGATATGGAACCTTGTGGTACAATGTCAGAGAGAGCCATACACTAACACACAAGTTATGTCTGGAAGTTACAAAAATGCTTATTTTTGGCCCCTATTTGGCCCCTAATTCCTTAACTGTTGGTACCATAACCCCTTAAATCAATCCCAACCTTCCTTTTGTGGTACTGAACCTTATAGTAAAATTTCATAGAGATCCATTCACTTAAACTAAAGTTAGAGTGCGAAAACCAATGTGTCTTCGGACGACGATGACGACGACGACGCCAACGTCATACCAATATACGATCACAAAATTTTTTTGCGGTCGTATAAAAAAAACAAGAGTGCACACACTGAAATGTCTAGCCTACCATACTGACTATTGATTTTATGTTGATAGTCCTAAATATAATGTTTTACTACAAGTATCACATTATAAAATTGAGAATGGAAATGGGGAATGTGTCAAAGAGACAACAACCCGACCATAAAACAGACATTAACATTCATGATCCTAGAAAATGAGGTCAAAGTCAGATAAACCAAGCCAGAAATACATGTACACCTTTAATACAATCATTCCATACACCAAATATAGATGACCTATTGCTTATGATATTAAAATAAAATGCTCCGCAGGGCGCAGCTTGATACGACCGCAGAGGTCGAACCCTGAACAGTTGGGGCAAGTATGGACACAACATTCAAGCTTGATACAGCTTTGCATTTGGATTGTGATTAAATATTTGACACAGCATAGGTTTCTGACACAGAATGAATGTGGTCTAAGAACTTAAAAATTTTAAATTGGACATTCACCTATTATGGTCCAATATCCAAAATCTATATACATGGTTAGATTCAGCATATCAAAGAACCCCATGTATTCAATTTTTGTTGAAATCAAACAAAGTTTAATTTTGGACCCCGATTTGGACCAACTTGAAAACTGGGCTCATAATCAAAAATCTAAATACATGTTTAGATTCAGCATATCAAAGAACCCTAAGAATTCAATTTTTGTTAAAATCAAACTAAGTTTAATTTTGGACCCTTTGGACCTTAATGTAGACCAATTTGAAAACGGAACCAAAAATTAAGAATCTAAATACACGGTTAGATTCGGCATATCAAAGAACCCCAATAATTCAATTTTTGATGAAATCAAACAAAGTTTAATTTTGGACCCTTTGGACCTCAATGTGGACCAATTTAAAAACGGGGCCCAAAATCCAAAAACTAAATACACGGTTAGATTCAGCATATTAAAAAACCCCAAGAATTCAAGAGTAAAACCCCATTGAAATTGGTCAAGAAATAAGCAATTTAAACGAAGTATCTTCTTTTGCACAATACTGTGTATTAAATATTTCTTGCTATTGCGCAATACTGTACAATTGACAATTTCTTGCTATTGCGCAATATTGTGCTATTGGATATTTCTTGCTATTGAGTAATACTGTGCAATTGAAGATTTCTTGCTATTGCGCAATACTGTGCAATTGAAGATTTCTTGCTATTGTGCAATACTGTGCAATTGAAAATTTCTTGCTATTGCACAATACTTATTATATAATTTACACATCCTGTTTCATGTGTATCTCCTACCATATCATTATTATTTGCTTTTAAATATAAATCAGAAATAACCAACTTAAAATGGAAAATTTTAAAAGAAAAAAAAAATTAAAAAAAGAAAAAAAATTAAAAAAAAAAAAATCTCCCCCCCCCAAATTTTTTGAACCCCTTTATGATTCATCACCCCCAAACTCAATCCCAGCCTTCCCTTTGTGGTATGATACCTTGCAGTAAAATTTCAGAGAGATCCATACACTTGAACACAAGTTATTGTCTGGAAACTAGAAAAATGTGTTTTTTGGCCCCTTTTTGGCCCCAAATTCCTAAACATTTAGGGCAATTACCCCAAAACTCAAACCCAGCTTTCCCTTTGTGATATGGAACCTTGTAGTACAATTTAAGAAAGATCCATACACTTACACACAAGTTATTGTCCTGAAACTAGAAAAATGCTTGTTTTTTTGCCCCTTTTTGGCCCCTAATTCCTAAAATATTGAGGCAATTACCCCCATCATCAATCCCAGCCTTCCCTTTGTGGTATGGTACCTTGCAGTACAATTTCAGAGAGATCCATACACTTGAACACAAGTTATTGTCTGGAAACTAGAAAAATGCTTATTTTTGGCCCCTTTTTGGCCCCCAATTCCTAAACGTTTCGGCAATTACCCCCAAACTCAATTCCAGCTTTCCCTTTCTGATATGGAACCTTGTAGTACAATTTCAGAAAGATCCATACACTTACACACAAGTTATTGTCATGAAACTAGAAAAATGCTTGTTTTTGCCCCTTTTTTGGCCCCTAATTCCTAAAATTTTGAGGCAATTACCCCCAAAATCAATCCCAGCATTCCTTTTGAGATATGAAACCTTGTGGTACAATGTCAGAGAGATCCATACACTAACACACAAGTTATGTCTGGAAGTTACAAAAATGCTTATTTTTGGCCCCTAATTCCTTTACTGTTGGTACCATAACCCCCAAAATCAATCCCAACCTTCCTTTTGTGGTATTGAATCTTGTGGTAAAATTTCATAGAGATCCATTCACTTAAACTAAAGTTAGAGTGCGAAAACCAATGTGTCTTCGGACGACGACGACGCCAACGTCATACCAATATACGACCACAAAAATTTTTTTGCGGTCATATAAAAACAGACCAAACCATGGAAATTTTTATATTGACCAATGAACCATGAAAATAAGGT